AAATGGTATGGGACATTTTTGGGAAAAAAAAGGGTTGTAAAAGAAATGAAATAATGAATGTTTACAAATCTAAAGATAAGATGTTTTGAAATAAAGAATGAAAAACTTTTAAGACAAAAAATGAAAATTTCAGAATGGAAAAAATTTCAAACTCTAAAGGAGATTATGATTAGGAGAATGGGTTCAAGATTTCCAAGACCTTTGGGCAAAGTATTATATTTTTAAATGATTTTTAAGACCTTCAAGAAAGATTTGTAAGACCTTTAGATAAAGTCTTACATTTTTGAATGATTTCCTAAACCTCTAGGTAAAATCTTAAATTTTTGAATGATTTCCAAGACTTTCGAACAAAATCTTAAATTCTTTGAATGATTTTCAAGACCTCCAAGTAGAATCTTAAAATTTTGAATGATTATAAGATCTTTGGACAAAATTATAAAATTTTGAATGACTTTCAAGACCTCTTGGTAGAATTTTAAATTTGTGAATGATTATCAAGACCTTCAGGTAAATCTTAAATTTTTGAATGATTTTCAAGATCTCTATGTAAAATTTTAAATTTTGTGAATAATTTTAAGATTTTCAAGTAAGATTAGTAAGTTTTTCGGATTGAATATGCTTTAGTGTCAAGATTTATAATACCTTATGGTGTAATCTCTAAGTTTTTCAGGCAAGATTCATAAGTTTTTTTATATTGAATCTGTTTTAATGTCGAGATTTATAAGATCTTAAGGTTTAGCCTTGAGAAGATTTTTTAAGTTCTTCGAGCAAGATTCATAATTTTAAATTTGGTGTGTAATAAGACCCTAATAACAATGGCATATTTCTTCATCTTTTCAAATTCATCAACTTGTTGCAATAACGCTAACAAATTTGACTTTTAGTTTCATGAATTTCACCATCATAAGCAATCGCTAAAGCATCAATCTTATCTAGAGGTTTTTCAAAGAACATAGCTCTAGATATTTTTGACTCAAATTTGCAACAAATTCCACTATCATATTCTTAAGTGCTATTTTGTGCCAGGAAAATTGTACCTACTCTTAGTTTTGTTACTAGAATACTTCTTGGTGCAAATGACTCATTGTAAGCAAGATTACCCTAACTACTATTTGATGGTTTATAAGAAGTGTATTGAATGAACAAGTGAATGACATGCTTAGCAGGTGGAGAAATTGTCTTATCTAGTACATTTGGAATTATCATTTCAATGATAGGCCTTTTTGTTGATAATCCACTAACTATATCTTGACAGTTTGAATCAATCTTTTCCACGTTCTTAGAACCACTAGTGTATTAAGGACTAGCAGCCAACAACATTGCATTCAATTTGTCATAGTCTTCGTCTATCAATTGTGGAACCTTTTCATTATTATAAAAAACAATAAGCTTAGAACCAAAGTCATAAGAAGCAAAACCTGATGGAGTATAGCTTGAGTATTTGATGGATTTGCTCTCGTTATTCATCTGACATGGCATCCATCTTGGCATGATTGAGCTTGCGGCTATTAACTCATCCATTTGGATTTATAAAGCTTGAACCTACATTGTAATGGCTTGTAGCTTGGTTGAATCTTGTAATAGCTTTGATACCATTTGTAACAAATTGATAATATTTGGATGGCTAGAAAATAAGAGTAAAAAATAAACTAGAGAAAGAAAAAAGAATTGAAAAAATTAACAGAAAAGTTTGAAAATTTTCATTTATGTGAAGCTCATTACAAGGTTCTTACATATATAAGAACATGTTGCCAAAATTTTAGATATTCTGACCAACCATAAAAGAGCATTTTTTGATAGCTTAATTAATTAACTAATCATTGTTGCCATACCATGAGCTGCTAGCCTAAATTCTAATGGTATATTGCTAGCTCTTTATTCCTTGCTTCTCTTCTAAGACATTTGTCATTAGCTTTTCTCTATTGCTCTTGAATTTTATCTTGTGTGTTATAGCCTCTGGTATGTTAGCTATTCCCATTAACTTTACTTCCATGATTAGTTTAGCACTGATGATAGCTACTAAATTCATCATAGGAATGAGGGGATTTGAAATAAATTTTTTTTTATGGTTTTTAATCATTGGTGGATGGTACAATACAATAGCATCAATGAAATTTTCAATGCTAGAATTTGGGCTTTAAGGTTTTTAAGGTTTAGTTTGAATTTTTTGGCCATTGAATCTTAGTTTTTGACCAAAACCTAGGTTTGGCTTAATTTTTCAACTAGTGTTCTTAGATTTAGAGACAAGTCAAAAAGGAATTCCAATTAGAGGGTGAAATAAAACATTTAAGAAATGAAAATTTTGGGCTTTTATAATGAAACCAAAGCAAAGTGTTTTGACTAAAGTTAACCCTTGCTAAGACTTGTGTCGACTCATGATCCACCTATCTGACTCGCTTTTATGCTCGTTAACTCATATTGACTAGGTTATTTATTTATTTATTTTATTTGTTTAGTTTTATTTATTTATTTATTTACATATATTTGGTTGTTTAAAAAACGTATGACAAACAATAATTAAATTAAATAAAAATTAAAAATTAGTTAATTAAACATTTAGAGATTAAATGATAAAATAATTAGAAATTAGATAAATTTTAATTTTCTTTCTTTCACAAAAAATAAAATAAATGTGATAATGAAATTCTAAAAAGTTATAAATATGGTGATTTTCTAAAAAAATTTTAGGTGAGAAATTTTTTCTAAATTTTTTTAGAATAATGGATAATTTAGATAAAATTTCAATGTACAAATAAAAATAGGAAAAAAAAATTAGAAATTACATAATTAAATAATTAAAAATCATAAATTAATTTTTTTCCATAAAACATTTAATAAATTTAATTACAGAGTCTCTTTAATGAAATGAATAGGTTTCTTGAATATACTTGAAGTAAGAAAAGTTTTTAAGAATTCTGTCAAAATGTTAGACAAAAAGTAAAAGTTGTCTAATATTTTAAATGATGAAATTTAATTAAAGATAAAAGATCATTTTAATTAAGACCATTTGAGATAATATAAGATTAATTGATAATATATTAGGATAGACGTTATGGGGATGTTAAGACTTTTCTGACTTTTAAATCTAATTTTATTTTGTAGATAAGAAGCTATTTTTTTAAAAATATTCTAATCAAGTTTAGAATTTTTTAGAATTGATAGATTAAAATAAGTGGTTATTCACACCTAATAAAAAAAATATTAGTGTCGATTTCTTTTTTGTGTCTGGTGATCAAATTCTCAAAATTGCATGTTATAACAAATACAAACTTCAAAATTAAATAATTATGTATTAAATTTTATAAATTAGGTCTATACATTATTTTTTTTTTTAGTAATTTCATTACATCTTCACGGAGTTTAGAGTATCGTTCATTACTTTTACATATAAGGACATATAAAGACTAATCTACATATTAAAGAGTAACAAATAATAATAATAAATAAATAAATAAAATAAAAAATAATAAAAGTAATCAATCTCAAGAGAGATTTAAAAATTTTAAATACGAATAAAAATAATACTAAAATTATATGAAAGCGACATCATTTAAAATTTTCATAAAAATCGGATGTAAGTTTGATAAAATCAATAATATATTTTGTATTTGATATTTCAATAAAATTATTATATAATAATTTTTGTGTTTTACATATGTTTAATATGAGATAAATATAATAAAAATATACGAATTATTAAATTTAATTACGGGATAACAATTATACTAAATATAATCTTAGGACCATCAAGCTATTCTAAGTAGGAGTAAGGTATTTTTTTATTTTTTTATAGAAATTAAATGCCCACTTAGTATTTAATACTAAACTTTGAATGCATGAAGGATGATATTCGTGAACCTAATTAACAAAATGGATTCTCATTATTCTAATTAACTCGGAATTTCTTAAATTTAATATTATAATTTTGGCTTTAATCCCAAATATGCTTACGATCTTTAGTGCGTAGAATTAAGTTATTGACTTTTTAGTACATGCAAATAAGCCTATAATGTTTTATTTATAATAAATATAACCATAAACTTTTAATATCACATAAAAAGCAGTGACAGCACTCCTAAGGCCAATCCTGACCAATAAATAATTAATCATGTCGAATAAAAACAGGAGCAAGTCAGATGGGGTTCATGGCATGGGTGCTAGAATGAGGCTTTGTTTATGGATCGGCCCAAATCCAGAATCTTTTGTTTAGATAGTTTTTTTTTTTGATTCGGTGTTACCAGCGGCAGGGTAAGGGATTCCTGGATTCAGCGCAGTTGGTAAATAGAAAAGGCGTTGAGAACGTTGTCTGAAGGAAGCAGATTTGAGAGAGATGGCAGGAGGAATAGGAGCGTTTTGGGGAACAAGAGTGATGGAGATAGTGAAGAAGCATGATTCCGGAGGCCTCGTTTGGAAGAGAATTAAGCTCACTTCTACCCGCAAAGCCAACGCCAAGAAGCGTCTCCATCGCGTTTGGCAGGTACTAAAACTCTTTATTACCTTCTCTCCTTTTTCCTGTTTTACTGCTATATGTTTCTTTTAAGGGTTTACCCCTTTTGGCTTATTTATACACTTTCTTATCATTTCAATGCATAAGCTTTTCATGCCAAACCTTTCTTCTTCCTCGGTTTCTTGTTTTGGTAATTGATAGTTTATTTTCTGAACTGATTCAGTTAGCTGTTGACAAATAGTTGGAATTCAATGTTCAAGTTAACAATGACCGTTTATTACATGTAGAGCTATGTATATTTGAGCTCCGACTCTCAATTTAGTTGCAAATTTTATAAACACAATAAATTGCAAAGTCGATCATACATGCTCAAGATAGAATGGCCAGTTTAATTTCATCTGGTATTCATCTTTAAGAGTATTAACTATTCAGGAGTGATGTTTTCCTCTTTGTGTTTGTTTATGTGTCCCTTTTCTGTAACTCATACAAAATGGTTCTTCCATTTCATGGCCATTGGCATGGGATGTTCAATGCTGATGTAGAACAAGTTTTGAGATTTTAAGTTCCTGTGTGTGTTCTTTTCAAGGGACTTATAGAGATAGGCTGGCTGATCAGTGAATTCGAGTTGAGTGGTTTAAAATTGAGCATCCAGAACTAGATAGAAAATCTTGAGTTCTTAAGAAGGGATAGTACTCAAGTGCTCCTAGGACATTTTTACTTTATATCTAATTATTTGGCTGGTCGATTGATTGCACTCATTCTACATGGAAATAAATGTAGTTTAAAATTTCTTACATTAGGCTTCTGCTTACCATGAATTTATTGTTATGGTGGTACTCATTTAAGACAATCAGCATCTATTGCTTCTGAGCCTTTCTCTTGCTTGGATCAAAACAACTATTTGAGTTTTAACCTTTTGCGGACATTAAATTATTTAATTACTACCATGTAATATTGTGAGAAAATATTATTTTGATAAACTAAGCGCTTAACCTTTTTCTGTGGCCTTCAGATGGACTCAAATCCTATTTTATGCTCATTATTAGGGGAAAGCAATCAGTCGGATCAGTCCTGAAAGAAACCACTTTATTTAACCGACCATTTAAATAGAACTAACCAAACCGACTTAACTAAATTCATTCGGTTTCATTTAGTCCAGTTGATTGGAACCGACTTAAGCTCACCCCTACTTGTTATCTATGAAATGGACTTATGACTTTAACAAATATACGAAAGAAACCTAATGTAGCTTTTATTTAGTGGTTCAGAGATTCAATTTGCTGCTGTTGGAACTTAGCCTGCCTATCACCAATTTTACTTCCCCTTAAGGCCCAGGCCTCCAACTGAAAGGCCACAAATTTATAACCATTAAGAAAGAAATCACCATGGAATCTTCTATTTTTACTGTTTGCCTTGCATTCCGTAACAGTCCCTGAATGCATTTTATTACCCATGGCTTTCATTCAACTGCATGCTGCAAAACTCTGAAATGTTTAGGTTATTGTAATTACCCTTTTATTACCCTGTATACAGATGAATTTGCAGAGTGTTGATCCCATAATTTTGGACTTCTGGATCATTATGTTTTCTTGCTTAATGGATTTTAGATATCATCATTCAAAATTTATATATCTCTGAGATACTCAAAATGTTTATTTCTTTTAGAATGAAGCTGTTTTAAGGGCATGTGCAGAACCACCTCCTTCAAAAACAACTGATGTTGTAGCTGGTGGTGCTGGCGAGAAAAAGGGGGAATAGCCAACTTTATGGACAAATTGAGTAAGACACTACATGCACCTCAAAGGAGGATTTTGGTTATTCTTGGCTTCATGGTGCAAAATTTTTAAAGTTTGAGATTTGAATTTAGTTGGATGTTATCAGGACGACTATTTATTCTTGTTTAAGGCCATTGCTGTATCATCTTGGAGCATATAGTAGTATGCAGCTTTTAGTTATTGGACATAGGCAATCATAATCTCATATCTCTTAGCAACTTTCATGTGAGCACTAGCTTGTGAATGAAACATTCTGAAGTTGCTTGCTGATGCTGTGAATCTTTTTAACTGGTCCAAGCTGGCTTGATGAAATATGGTTTTTCTGAATGCTTATTTTTCACTTGTTTATTCTAAGATGATCACATCACTAATAATAGTAAAATCGATTTACAGGTGTAAATCACAATATGATGGCTAAGAGTGTAATTGAACTAAACACGAATTAATTTTGTTATTGTTGTGATTTATATGTTTAATTAACAAGTTTTGAAATGTTTTCCATAATCATTTGTTATTTGTTAAACTTAATATACAAATAAAAATAAAATTTATTCACAAACTTTTTTGTCAAACATTTTTTCGTGTACACTCTAATGATCGTATGTTAGGTCCAAAGAATGAAGTTTGAAGTTTGAGATGAAGGGATTCATTTAAAATTTCACATTCTTAAAATTCAGCCGCTTCTGGTTTGCTTGCATCGGCTGTTGACAGGGACATTATGGTAAAGCTGACTTTAATTTAATTGATGATGGAGTGCCCTGTGCAGATTTGTACGTCATATTGGCAACAGCATATCATTGTAAGGTCCCCTCTAAAAAGTTTAATTGAATCTTATTATTTTTCTGGAAGAATCTTTTCCTTTTGGACAGTCATCGCAGAGTTAACATTAAGCTAACAGCAAAGTTTTATTTGGTAGATCAACATCTATTTATTTGAGTGATAAGAAATTTGATTTTTTTTAAGTAATATTTTGATTTTGAGTTTTGTAAATATAAAAAATAAGTTTGAAAAAATTTACTTTTTTTAAAAAATTTGATTTGATTTGATTTGATTCGGTTCAATTTTGAATTAATCAAAATTCAAAATAGTTATTGAATATCGAAAAATTTAAAAAAAAAATTTTATTAGATAAGAATGATTGAAAGTTATAAAAATGAAAATTTTATTAGTTTAATAATTAAGTTACAAACTAAAAAAATTATGAATTTTAATTATTAAATTAACAATTTTTATTCCCGTTATATTTCATTTTTTCTACCAAGCAAAGCCTTAAAATCAGAAGACTGACTTTGACATAGGAAAGACTCGATTAAACTTAACGAATTCCATTTTGTATACGTCTCTGTACCTTCCGGAGTTCTAAGAGATCCTTCGGTAATTGAGCTTGCATCTCTTTACACGCAACAATTACATGACACTGATGCCTTCACGTCTGGCCTTACCATAAATATGCTCATAATTATCATGTGGCATGTAATACATTAGTGTAGTAGGAAATTGAAAGATGTCACTGCATATATTGTTCTTCAAAAAGTTATCTTTAGCTGTCTGTGGTCAGAGCGTGTATTTGGAAACTCTAGCACAACCACACGGAGGTTGTAGCCTGTAGGTCATCCCATGCGGCTGTCTTCCGTTAATAATGAGCTAAGCATTTTAAATTAAAAGTCGATGAGCAACAGCCTGAAATTGTCGTTGACCATGCTCACCTGTGTAGACAGCTAATTTCTTTTGTATAACATATATAGCTAGGCATTCATTTTTTTCTGGTATGAGACGCTCAATTACTCATAAGTCGTAGAAGAACAAAAGAAAAGAATAATTTAGCATTCAGCTTCTTGTGAGATTCTCGGGCTTTTAATGATACAACAAAATTTTTTTGGCCATTGAAAAAGAATATATTTCCAGAAGTCAATACAATGTCTGTTTTACATATATCAATATGATTGTTGAGATTTTGAAATCTTGTAAATGGAAACTATCATCTGCAACTATCCTTAAATCTACTAGAGTGTGGAGCTGGCAATCCATCCCTATTTAGGATCCCAACCAATGAAGGTGGGGGTTGTCTAATCCAAACCTAGCTGCATATCCCCATTTTTTATTGTGTTGCAACCCAGTCCGCAGCCTTATTGACTCTATCTCTTAACCGAACTCAGTTTCTTTTCTGGAACCTCTTCCCACAACTTCATAATAACCTTCATAATCGGTCTAACAAGCCAATAATACTTCTCCTAAGTCCTTTGGAAATGATTGTACACCACTTCAGAAAATTGAACACCTGGGTGTCTGAAAACAATACAAATGAATGATTAAAACCTTCTGCTACCAAATTGAACACTTGGGTGTTTGGAAACCTTAAACTCCAATCCATATTGGTTACTGCCCTATCTAGTCTTTCCTTCACTACCTCCCCTTCTTTAACCCCAAACCATGTAAATAGTTGTCCCTTATAATTCAGATCTTCCAGACTACAAAAATTGAGCATTTCTCTAAAACATTCCATTTTTCGCTTCTCTTTTCTTCTACCACCCTTTTTCTCTTGTTCCTCCATTATATCATTAAAGTCCCCAATGCACAGCCTTGGACCACTTATGTTCAATGCCTTTTTCTTTATATAATCCCATACTTTCCTTCTTTTCTCAATCACTAGTGCCTCATAGATCCAGAAATTTTAACCCTTATTCTATTACTCATACATTCTACTATTGTGCCTATCAAATACTTCCTTTCTTTCACCACCGTAAGCTGAACATTATTTTTATACCACAGTGCCAACCCTCCACTCAAGCCTTTTGGATTCACACACATTCTTTCATCAAAACGTAGCTTCTTTCCTTCCACCTTTTCCCTACCATTCTTGGTTTCCATTAAGAACACCAAATCTGGATTGTGCTTCCTCGTAAGCTTTTTAAAAGCTTGAATTGTCAAGGCTAACTCTATTCTTTGATAGTTTCATGATAGTGCAATCATTCCCCTTTGGTGGCTGTTTGCGGCCAACCACTATAGCTTATAGTTATCATTTTCCTCCACTCACTAACCCCTATCTCCTCCAATCAACTTTCTTTTATGTTGTTCAACCCAATTGAAACCTCAAATAAGTTTTTTGCTTTCCCTTTCTCTTAACTTCCCTTCCTTACTCCCTTCTTCCTAGTTCTTTTATTCTCCCACCATCCATCTCCTTTCCTTTCATCACATCTTCACTTTTTATTGAACTGACCTAATTACTGATATCCCCTAAAATTATCATTTCACTTTCTCCCTCAGTCTTTTTCTTTATTTGGCTTATCTGTTCTTCTTTTTCTTCAAACCTTCTTTCCCCTCATTTCAACTTCAAATTTCGAATCCTCATTGCTAGCATAGACTCTTTTCTTCTTACATTCTCTTTCTAATCTTTCTTTCGTATTCTCTCCCTTTGTTTCTCTTCATCTTCTAATGGTAGTTCCACAGTATATGGGATATCACCAATATAATCATAATTTCCTTTATTTGCTAGGTTAATCTCTCCTTTAGCAGAAAGGCTTTTATAACTATTTTATGTTATTTTACATCCCTTTGTTAAGATATAAGAATTTTCCAAGGTTTGATTCAAAACATAGGTATCTTTGTTTTTCCTTTTGGTATTTCGGCAAACTGTTTTGGTTTTATATAGACTATTGGGATTTGTTTTCCTTACTTTTATTTCTTTTTTTTTCCCTTGCACTTTCTATAAGGATAGATTCTCTCAGGAAATCTAAAAGTTTTTGTATCATGTGTATATCTTTATTCTTCTTAGTATACCCTTCATTTTTTACATTCGCTATTACTCTTTTCCCCCTTGTTCCCTTATCTATCATTGCTTTACTATTCCATCCTTTATTACCCATTCCATCTTTCTTTTCTACCCTTAAACTTCCAGTACCTACTATCTCAACTATTTTGCTGACTTTTTGACTTAAGACTTCGTAATTATTTTTCCCTCACTTCCCAACAAACTCATTCCATTCCTACATTGCCTTTTCCATGTGCCTATCTTCTTCTCCCATTTTATGCGCCAGCTTTTATGCCACTTTTTTTTTTACCCTTAATTTTTCCTTCTAACATTCCTTATATTTTGGTGGTGTTGCTCTCATAAACTATAAATATCTTCATTTTCCCTCACTTATCCCCCCTTCCACCTCACACTACTTGTCCACATGGCTCAATTTTCCATAGTTGTAACACCAATTTGATAACCTTTCGTATTTTATCATCTTTCATATCCTCTTTCTATTTTTTCTTGAAACCCAAAATTCGTTTATCAAAGATTTTTCTCATATTCAACGTCACCCTTATCCCTAACAAACTTTTTCCTAAACACTTATGCATCAATGGATCTTTCACCTTAATCACTTTTTTCAAATTTCTCCTTATAATCTTACCATTCTATTTAGTGATAAGATTTAAAGGTAGGCAGTGAATTTGTACCCAAAAATTGATTTGCCCAAAATCAATATCTTCAACTGATAACTTTTCTTCCCATATTTGAAGATTAAAACAATACACCATTATTGACCAAAGTCCCATTTCAATTGCCAAGCTGAAAAATTTTTCTTAATTAAACAAAATACTAAATTTATTTATACCTACATCTTGTATAAACTCAGTAGTTTCAATTGGCCAGATCCTTCGCAGGATGTTCATCACATCTTTTCTATTCAATCTCTTCTCTGTGTAAATCTTCCCCACTGCCATGTTATTCATTCGAGCATAGGTTTGCTTCTTTTCCTCCTTCAAATTAATCACTAATTCCTCCATACTTACCCCACTCTCAACTAGGCTAATCAACAAATTTATAAAGATGGATTATGGATAAAAAAATAGATTTCATCTATTTGATTATTATTATAGATACCTAATTTTGTTTGATAAAATCTCTATCATTTGTGAAGTGTTTAAAATTCAACCCAGTTCAAATCCAACATTTCTTCAATTTTGACAAGTTTTTAAAATAAAAATTTAAATCAATTGGACCAAACTGACCCAAAGTCAACTCTGTCAAGCTTGGTCAAATGAAAGTCAAAATTGGTCAAACTCGATAAAAACATATAGAACCTAGGCCAATCCTCGAAATTCGTAACCAAATTGAAATCAATATAGTTTAAAATTGAAATTTATGATTTTTAAGACACTAAAAAGTTTGATTGTACTTAAAAAGTATAAATTTACTAAAATACCCTTAAAGGTATTTTGTAAATTAACTTTCTCGAAGTCAAATTTTCATGAAAACTTCCAAATTATAATTGAATATTTTTTAATGAATTTTTGATACATTGAAAACCTATATCACATCTTGAGAAATGTGAAATTATTAAAACACCCCTTAGAGCTATTATCGTAATTTGACTTTTCCAAGGTCAAAATT